GCGGGAAACGCCGACGGCCCTCGCGGGGCCGCCGGCCAAGACTTGCGAGTCGCGCCCAGCTGTCCCTCATAGTTGCGCTTCGCCCCGCCACCCGCGGCGCCGTCGAGCCGCTTCACTGCTGCTCGCCTCCGCGCCGGTGCACTCCGAGGTGCGGCGACGTCTCCTTTTGGATGTTGCGGGCGTCGTCCGCGGGCCGTGCGGCTCCAGAGCCGCTCGCCAGAACGCCCAGTGCGGCCACTTCCATGGCCAGGAACCCGAGCTTCAGGCTGTGGAGCACGGCTGGTCTCAGCGAGGCCTGCGGAGGGCGTCCCCCGAAGAGGCGTGTGGCCGTCGCCATCGGCGCCTGCAGCCGGGCCGTCAGCATGGCGATCGCGCTGGCCGCCTTCGGCGCCCTGCGCCTGGTGCTCGCCGCCTTCCTGATCGATGCTCTCGATCTGTGCGGCGCGTGGCGCCACGGGCCCAGCGCCCACGATCTGCTCGGCGAGCCATGCGTGCAGGTCGTCGTCGATTTGCTCGGCGCCCTCCTCCACGTCGTCGTCCACGCTGTCGAGTGTCGCCGCCTCCGTTCGCGGCATCGCCGCGTTCAGGTCCAGCTCGTGCGTGGGCTGGTGCTGCCCGCAGCGTAGGCGGCCCTGGAGCCCGTACCAGACCCCCGTACGGCAGCTGCACGACCACCGCCCGCCTGCCGTTCTTCACCACGGCCTCTTCGACGGCGCAGATCATGGCGCCGAGGAGCTCCTGGAGCTCGGCCTCGGCGACGGCCGCGCGCACTTCGGCGGCCTGCGCGGCCCAGGAGGCCATTCGCTCGGCCCACCTCCATCTCGATGCCGTACGCGTCCACCATTTCTGGTCGGCGGGAAGCCTCGCCGTGGGGACCTCGTCCACCAGGTCTGCCATGACGGACTCCACCAGCAGCTGCATCTCCTCGCCAGTGAGGCCAGGCTGGGCCTCGCGCTGCTGCGCGAGTGCGACCTTCAAGCCTGCGGCGACGCCGTCCGCGCAGGCCGCAGCCTCTCGCGCGACCGCGTCTGGCGCCGCGCCCTCGCCGTTGTTGCACGTCTCGCCGATGCCCCCGCACTGCACGATTCCCTCGATGCCCTCCTGCTCGACGTCCTCGCGCTACAGGGTGCCGATGCCCTCGCTCTGTTCGGCGCACGGCTACCCCCGTGGAGGCCGCTCTTGCCGTCCGCGCCGCCCGTGGGCCGGTGTCATGCACCTGGCGCCCACGCCGGCACGAAGGGCCGCGCCTCGGGCCGGAGCGCCCCGCCGCGGGGCTGCTGCGCCACGGTCGGAGCCGCATCGCGCTTGGCGGCCGCTCGGCCGCCAGGCGCCGCGGCAGCGTGGCCAGGGCTCGCTCGCACGCCTCTCGGCGCCTCGGCCGTGCGGCGTGCCGCGCGGCGGCTGCCCCTCTGCGCGGCGCCCTCGGCCTCCGCCTCCGTGGGGTGGGCCGCCATGCGAGGCAGCAGCCCCTCGGGGATCCCGCGGGCCGCCGCGACGACGAGCAGCCCTCCGCAGCCATGGCACCGCGCCCGCCCCGGGCGCTCGTCGCCGAACGGCCGAGGCAGAGAGCGCTCGGGCCGCACAGCAACGATAATGCTGATAATGCCGAGTCTGATGATGATGCTGATGCTGATGATGATGACGATGATGGCGACGATGACGATGATGACGATGATGATGCTGATGATGCTGCTTATGATGATGATGCTGATCAGGATGATGACGATGACGACGATGATGAATGATTCTGACGATGATGATGCTGATGATGATTATGATGATGCTGAAAATGATGCTGATGATGATGGTGCTGCTGCTGATGCTGATGATGCTGATGATGATGACGATGCTGCTGCTGCTGATGATGATGATGATGATGATGATGATGATGATGACGATGCTGATGATGATGATGATGATGATGCTGATGATGATGATGAAACTGATGATGATGCCGATGATGCTGATGGTGCTGATGATGCTGATGATGCTGATGATGCTGATGATGCTGATTATGCTGATGATGCTGATGATGCTGATGATGAGAATGCTGATGTTGATGTTGATGCTGCTGCTGCTGATGCTGATGCTGATGCTGCTGATGATGATGCTGCTGCTGCTGCTGATGCTGCTGCTGCTGATGCTGCTGCTGCTGCTGATGATGATGATGATGATGATGTTGATGATGATGATGATGATGATGATGATGATGATGATGAATATGCTGTCGACGGTGTTTTGTTTCAGCGTTGAGGATCGATGAGGGAGGAGGGATGCCTGACGGACGGGCGGGTCGGGGACGGTGAGAGGGGGACAGCTCCGAGGGCAGTCCCACGCGTATCCACGAGCCCTTGCAGGACGCGCTCCCTGCTCCCCTCTATCTCTTCGACGTTGGACAAACATGGGCGTCAAGGCTGTGGCCTTCCTCCGGTGACTAAACAAAGAAGGGCTTCCGACTCAGTGACCCCTCCCTCCTCCTCCTCCCTCTCCCTGTGATCCCATCCTCCCCCCCCCGCCTTTCCCATGGTGCCTCCCTCCCGGCTTCCGGCTCCCCGTCGTCCCAGCACAGCAGCCTTATGTCGGGCGTGCCCCCTTACAGGGGGATTTTCGACGAAGAATAAAACATACACCAAACATGCCCCAAAAAGGTCAATGCATGCTCAAAAAATAGTCCCCAGACTATTCTTGGATTTTTTGTTTTGTTTACTATTATCTTCGGGGTATTTCCCTACTTAGGCTCTGCCTAGAAGGGTTCTTACTGTGTATGCTTAAAGGGCCAGGCAGTGCTCCCCGCCCCGGGTGGTTCCCCCAGGATCCGCCCCGCGGTTCCCCCAGTGACGTTCCCTTAGCTTATCGTTGCTTATCTCATCCTAGCTTAGCTTATTTCATCTTAGCTTAGCTTAGCTTCATCTTAGCTCAGATTTATCTTAGCTTAGCTTACCTTCATCTTAGCTTCGCCGAGCTTTAGTATAGCAGAGCACAGCACAGCATAGCAGAGCGTAGCACAGCGCAGCGCAGCACAGCATATCATAGCAAAGCCCAGCATAGCGCATAGCACAGCATAGCGCAGCATAGCATAGCATAGCATAGCATAGCGCAGCACAGCACAGCACAGCATAGCACCGCTCAGCATAGCATATAATAGCATAGCACCGCGCAGCATAGCAGCGCGGCAATACAAAGCAATCACAAAACCAATGCGACAGTGTAGATGTAGATGTAGATGTAGTTGTAGGTGTAGATGTCGATGTAGATGTAGGTGTAGATGTAGGTGTAGATGTAGATGTGAGTCTCGCTGTTGATGTTGATGTGGATGTAGATGCAGGTGTAGATGTTGATGTAGCTGTCGGTTTAGATGTAGATGTTGCTTTCCTAGATGCTCCAACTCCTAGGTAGGGTCGCACTGGACATATTTTTCAAATTTGTCGTCGAACATCCCCCTGTAGGGGGACAGGCCCGACTTAACAGCAGCCCCCAACTAGACGCGAGTGCGCGTTGATCTCCCCCCCTCCCCTCGTGACTCCTGCCACGAGTCGCCGCCACTGCCGGCCTGACATCCTTCCTGTTGCTTCCAACCCCGGCGCCGCGCCTCACCCCCCCTTCAAGCAGTGGCGAATCGGAGGTGCATAGATCTCCTACCTTGACACGTCGATTAAGGAATTGGCCGTTTTCGGTTCGCGAGAGGGCGTCGCGGCCGTCATTTTTGCGGGTCCAGGTCCGTCGGTTTCGGTCCCAGGCCGTTTTCACTAAGGGGAGGTTTGCTAAAGGGAGGTTTGTCCACCGCCGAGCGAAGCGTCTTGGCTCGCCTATAGCCCTGCCAAACACTGTTTTAAGAACCTTTTTTTGTGGTTCCCACGAACTGTTCCTAGAACATTTCTGGCGGGGCCTGCCCTGTTTTATCACACCGGGCTTCTGTTCTAAGAACATTGTTTTTGTTATTAGAGCATTTTGGGCTCTAAGAGCATTTCGTGGTAGGACTATCCTGCTCAACCCCTGTGACGGTCTCGACGGCGTTCCCCTGCAGGCCTAGTGCCCATGAGGCAGGCCGTCGGCCTGTACCCCAGCCTCTGCCGCGGAAGGCCTGGTGCCTCCGCGCCAGGGAGGGGGGGGGGTGTCGCGGAGTGGCGCCGAACAGTTTGGGACCCACTCCTCTCCCTCTCTTCTCTTCTGCTTTCCCCTGCTCCCTTTCCCCCTCCTCCCCGCCCACCCCTCGCTCGATGAAGAAGCGCATGCGTAACCGTTGACTGTCGGAGGTCCGCGCGGATGTCTGGATCTGCGCTGGACCCCCCTGGCGGCGCTTCCGGCGCCGCCTTTGGCGCGCTCCGCGCGCTCGCGCTCCTTGGCGCCCTCCAGCTCTGCCCATGGCGCGCTCCGCGCGCCAGGAAATCCGTGCGGACCTTCAATCTGCCGCTTCTGTTGCCTTTTCTCCTCCTACTCGCCCCATGCCATCACCAGCTCGTCTCTTCGCCTAGTTACCCCAATGCCCGTCCCTTCGCCTCTCTCCTTTTGCTTTCCATTCCCCCGTGCCCAGACTCCCAGCGTTTTCACGACGTGGGCGTCCCGAGGTCTTGACCCCATCCCCAGGGCCGTCTTTACATTCTGAGTCGTACTTTGGGCAGTCCGGGCACCTAGTGAGAGATCCCCCGGAGGCCGGGAACGTGGGACAATTGTCCGTGGTGTCATTCGTCACGACCAGAGGGGGTTTGGGTACATTCGGCGGCAAGCGAGGGCGGGGGGAAGTGAGAAGGAGAGGCCTTCTCAGAAGGCGGCAGGACTTCTCAGAAGCTCTCGCGGCTTCGAGGAGTTTTCTGTGCCTTCGGGGAAGTCTGGGACACTTTTCAGCAGGCAGGGCAACGAGCCTTCTGAGAAGGCTCGCCCCTTTTCACTTCACCCCCAGGCCTCGCCCATGCACCTCTCCAAACTCTGGTGGGGCGCATGTTTGTGCCGACGCGCCTTCGAGGGCCGTCGCCCCTCCCCCCCAAGCCTCCGCGCACCTGCAGGAGGGCATCGAGCCGGCGAGCCAGGCAGTGGCCCAGTTCCAGAGCCACCACAGGCTCGCCCTGAAGGACCTGCAGACCCACACTCGTCGTCGTCGTCGTCGTCGTCCTCCTCCTCCTCCTCCTCCTTCTCCTCCTCCTCCTCCTCCTCCTCCTCCTCCTCCCCCTCCTCCCCCTCCTCCCCGTCCACGAGCTCCTCCTCATCCTGCTCGCTCTCCTCGAGCCTATTCTTTTCCCTGGCGATGAACGGGCGTTGCCGGGGGGGGGGAGGCCAGCACGGACACGGCGCGCAGCACGCAGGCGCGCGTGCGCAGACACTCGAGGGAGTAACAGATGCCGATGCCGCCGCTCCCTCGACCTCTCCAGGTCCTCCTCCTCCTCCTCCTCCGCCTCCTCCAGGGGTGCCTTCTGACCAGAACTTCGAGGATACTCCAGGCGTGGTGACGAGGAGTCGCCAGGACGAGCAGCGGTAGGGGTATCCCTTTCATCCTCTGGGACACGCAGAGAGTGGCCTCCCGAGGACGGCCCCATGAGCGGGTCCCCGCAGCGCAGCTCGGCAAGCAGCAGCGGCAGCCACAGCGGCAGCCCGGGCCTGGCCTCGACAAGCAGCCGCAGGAGCTCCAGCGCGGGCAGCGAGCCGCAGAGAGCCAGGGTCCTTGCCATGCAGGTCCGGGAGAAGATGGAGGCTTGGGGGAGCGGTGGACGTGTGAACGACGTGTAAGAGTGACCCTTCGCCGGAGTGACCTTTGGTGCGGGCACGTTGGGGTTCCTCGATCGCCGAGCGCGATGCGCTGGTGGCGTCTTGCGCGCCTGTGTTTGGCCACCCCGCGGCCCCCAGAACGCCGCGCACCAGAGGTCACTCTTCACTCTTCCCAAGGGTCACTCTTGCGTGCCATCTGGGGAGGGGCGTGTCGAGGTTTTCGTCAGGAGCCTCCGAGTGGTGTGAGAGGGGCTCCCTGAGGGCATCTGGGGGCCTTCTCCGGGGACACCTCTCCAGGCCTTGCCGCACTTGGGGGCATCCTTCAGGTCTCTGGGGTGGTCTGGGAGCAGGTTTCGTGAGGATTGCCCACAAGAATTTCACGGGTTGTGGATTTAATTCAGCGGATTACTCGGACACGGTTTCAGGATGTGCGATCGGGGGTTTCGTTCCCCCGTGCGCCAGGGGCAGGGAGGACGTGGCGTGGCGAAGGAGTTGGTGCCGATATGAGGAATCGGAGCAGAGAAGTTTCTCAAGAGTCGGCGGCGAGCCGTGGGGGGACAAGTACGTACGAGGGGGTAGGCCTTCTCACAAGACGGCGGGGCTTCTCAGAATCCCTCTGACCTTCTGAGAAGCCGTCTGCGTCTTGGGAGGAGGCTTAGAGCACGTCTCAGAAGGCTGGAGGGCTTCCGAGCCTTCCGAGAAGGCCCGCCCCATCTAGCTTCCCCCCCTGGGCTCGCCGTCGAAAGAGGCCCTGGTGAACCACAACCTGCTGGTCAGCATCGAGCAGGTCCATGGGGAAACCTAAAGATACCGATAATTACAGCTACTCCCCAGGCATCTCCTGGGGTGCGTTCTGATCTGAATTTCGAGGCGAATCCAACGAGGGGCCTCCCAGGAGGCCCCCAAAGGCGAAAACGAGGCAAGGTTAGCGGTACGGGTACCTTTTCCTACTCTCAGGTCCAGGCGATATGCACGAACAGCATTTCGGGCATGCTTCTGGGCATGGTGAAGCCGAGCCTGCGGAGCGCGCTGGAGGCGGTGCTCGGGGACAGGAGCTGGCTGGCGAAAGAGAGTGCGTGGCTTAGCTGACCTTCTCCGCCCTCCTTTTGACCCGCAACGCGCGCCGTGTTCAAAGCGCCTGGGTTGAGCACGCTGCGTGTTGGCCCGGCGCTTGTTGGCCCACGTTTTGACGAATGTCTCGCGCCAGGTTTTGGTTTATACATGTGACAGGGGGACCAGGCCAGGGGGCCCCAGGGCCACGACCCCTGCCGCAAATGTGGGTGCCGGGGGCCTGGCGAGCTCCTCGGGGGCCCAGGGGTCCGCTCCCACAGCGCTCAGGCCGTCGTCAAGGCGTCTTGAAGAGGGCCCCGTGTGGACGCCAAGACGGCCTCCGGGAGTCTCAGACGGCTCACGAGGCGTCTCGAACGGCGCCAGGAGCCTCGCAGATACGTCACTAGCGCTCCAAGACGACACCCAAGAGAGCCCCGAGAGGCAGACATCTTCCTGTTCAAAGCGACCACTTTTGGCGTGTTCGCTTCCGGGGCCTTCACACAACGTCATCGGCCTACCAGGCCCGACGGCCCGAGAAGCCCCCTAGAGGGGCCCAGGGCAGACGGCCCCAGAGGGTCCAAAGATGGCCCAAGAGGCGCCCAAGACGCCCCAAAGCGGCCCCCAAGAGGGACCCACGATGGGGCACTCCAGCTGACATTTGGAGCCCTGCGACCCTAGAGGGTCCCCGAGGCCGGCATGAGGCCCCCGCGAGGCCCCCAAGATGCCCACAAGAGGCCCCAAAGAGGCCCACAAAAGGCCCCCGAGAGGCCCTCAAGTGGCCCCAGGACGCCCCCGGGAAACTCCAAGACCGTTCCAAGATGGCCCAGGAGGGCCTTCCGTAGCCATTCTGGCTCAAGCCATTTTGGCTAAAGAGCGAAATCCGAAGTGCGATTACCACGCCCTCTGGAAGATTGCTTGTGCGATTGCCCCGTCCACCATGGTCACGACTATCCTTGTCGTTGTGCTCTTACTCACGTCCCCAATTCTCACATCAGGCGCTCCGCATGCCACTGCGCCCACCATCGCTTCCATAACTAGCATCGCTACCAAATCTGTGAAGGGCAGGAGGCTCCTTGCCAGTACCACCGTGACGAGTACTACCACTATGACCAGCACCACTACCCTGACGAGCACAACTGCAACCAGCACCACTACCCTGACCACTGCCACCATGACTAGCACCACTATCCTGACAAGCATCACTGCAACCAGCACCACTACCCTGACCACTGCCACCATGACCAGCACCTCCACCTTGACCACTGCTACCATGACTAGCACCACTACCCTGACAAGCATCACTGCGACCAGCACCACTACCCTGACCACTGCCACCATGACTAGCACCACTACCCTGACAAGCATCACTGCGACCAGCACCACTACCCTGACCACTGCCACCATGACTAGCACCACTACCCTGACAAGCATCACTGCAACCAGCACCACTACCCTGACCACTGCCACCATGACCAGCACCTCCACCTTGACCACTGCTACCATGACTAGCACCACTACCCTGACAAACATCACTGCGACCAGCACCACTACCCTGACCACTGCCACCATGACTAGCACCACTACCCTGACAAGCAGCTCTGCAACCAGCACATCAGGCGCTCCGCATGCCACTGCGCCCACCTTCGCCGCTGCAGGCGAGGACAACAGTAGCTTCGTGGATGAAACGGTGACCATTTTGCCAAGGCCTCCGACGCCATGGGGCGGTACTTGCACAGATTGGGCGCCATACAATTGCAGCGAGGCCTCCGCGACGTGGGGGTATACCGCATTCGGGCAGGCCGACATCATCCAGAATTGCCCAGTCGCATGTGGTCAATGCGACAACTCGTCCCTTACACTATCTGACGAGAACGCGACGGTTCCCAATGACAGCGCCACATTCGGACCGCTACCCGATGAGGACGTCAACACCACGGCTCTGTTCGAGCTGTTCTTCGATGTCGAGTGCCTCCGCGGCATACCCAGTACGGAAGACATGCCCGCTCCTGCGAGCACAGCTTTCCACTATTTCCAAAAGTTTGCAAGTGAGTACAGGATCGAGAGCACGATGTTGAACGTTTTTTTTGTTGTTAATGACAATATGTACGACAGTTCTCGGAGGAGTCCCTAAAAGACGCGCTCCCATACTTATCTATTTGCACACGGCGCTTCTCTTTTTCCTCCAGTGGTGCACGCTGCTATTGGCCCTGATCTCCATATTTTGGTCATACGCTAGCATGCATCAGTATTTTGGCAGTTGTATGCGGACATTAGATCTCGCGGCCACCTCGCCAGTCTTCCTCGACTTGGTGATGGTGCCGGCCTGGTTTCTGCAACCCTCGGTGGCCAACATCAACGCGGTCATGATGCTGTATTGGCGTGTGTGGTCGACCATGTTGTCTAATCGGTGGGAGGTGTGGAATCCAAACTCATCAGCTCTCATTATCCATATTACTCACTGGGTTACTAACGAATTGTACCCCTTGGGCTACTCTCTAGTGATAACGTCGGCTCACCTTATATACATCGTCTGTACCCTCTTGGTAATATTTGCTATCGTATTCATCCCGTTATCGGTTATAGTCGCTCTCCAGATCTTTTGCTGTTTGCTAATTATGATGCTGGTTGACATACTGCTGGAGTTAAATTTGGTCACCGACATCATATCATTGGTTTTGGTGCCTTCCCATAGCCCTATTCTCAAAGTCATGCCAGCCGTCATGATGTTCGCCCCAGCGCCTTGTGCCCACAGCATAGTGCTGGGCTCGATCCTTGCGTGGCGAATTTACCAAGGAGACACTACTGATACCAGCAGCGCATTGGTCCGCATTCTGTACGAGCACGTCTTCGGTGGAATCCACGATTTGGAGTTGACCGTTCCTACCTTCACTTTCTCTGGCCTGGCAGCACTAAATATGATAATCTCATGCGTCAGGCCGACCATGTTGCTGGTCGGAAAGCTGGTCGGTATAGAGGGCTTTGAGACACAGAGTATTGCCGATTTGTTTGATGAAATACCCTAAGTGGTGAGCGCGTTTCCCCGGTGCCTCTTCTGGCGGGTCGCGCCAGAAAACGCCTGGCTGCAGTTCGTACTGCTTATATTTTTTAATGGTGCGTTGGACCTGGAGGGACGACAGGATACCGACACCGCTGCTCCCTGGGCCTCTCACCACCCACGGGTGACCTCACGCGGACGTCCTGCCCCCGTCCAGTACCCCCGTCCAGGGCCCTCGCCCCGATCCGTCCACATGTGACCGCACACCGAGGCCTTGCTCCCAGCATCTTCCTCCAGGGCCTCGGAAGGTTCAGCGCACGCGGCACAAGCCCTGGATTGCATGCTGAGACGTTTTCACTTAGATGAAATATACCCGAACAATTTTCAATTGTTTTTAATTGGCGTGACGTGTACTCCATACAGTAGTGGTATCCATTATCGACCTAGATACATGGTGCGACCCACCATGTATATATTGATGGTAGTGCCCACGACCTTTGCCTGATCAAGAGCACGACCTTGGTGGATTCCTGTGGGGTCCTTTGGAGCTGGGAGCGAAGCTGAAGCTGAAGCTAGGGGCCCTAAAGGCGAGGAACAAAAAAGGGGGGAGGAAGCTCTCCCTTCCATCGGGCTGTGGCGACCCCGGGCATTTGCGCGGTGCATGGCACTTTGTGCAAGCACCAGTATAAGGCCGTGCCGAGAGCCGTGGCCCGGGTGTCCCGGCACGCGCCCAGCACGGCGCCGCTTTCTCACGCATCCCCTTCGCAACATACAATTATCCTTCGCCCGCTCTCGCTTTCTCCCCCCCTCCCTCCCTCCTTGTAGCGGCACCACACCCTCTCTCCCGCTCCCTCTTCAGCCCCTCCTGCGTCACGCAGTGTTGGCGTCTCTGAATATGCCTATGTGTGGGGGCGGAGTAATGTACATAGTTTTTGACAAATCAGGTGCAGGAGCATCGGACTGCGTGGTAGGAAGCCACCGCCGTCGCTTTTGACCCGTCCGCGCTCTGCGCTAATGTTTCGGACTTCCCCGATAGGACTGAGATTCGCACCGTCGTGGTTGCCATCTAGGCCGCCGATCGTCATTGTGCAGGAATTGCCGATTCGGGCTCGGCGGGGGGGAAAAAAAAAGATGGCCCAGGAGGGCCTCCAGATTAATCAAATTGCCCCAAGACGAGCGCAAGAGACCCCAAGACGTCTCGAGAGGCGTCCTCGAGGGGCTCGTGAGGTGCAGATCCTTCGACAACCCAAGTAAACCCATAAAATTTTTGAAGAACTCGCTTCTTCACTGCCGATGGGCCCCGGAGGTTTCTGGATGGCCCCCTAACGCCCGAGGGAACCCCAAGAAGAGCCCCTCAGGCACCCAGGCACTCGTGAACACATGTCGTGTCTTTTTCCTGTGCCCGTTCTGGAGCATTGCTGGAGCTCACCTGGGAACGTCTTCGAACCTGAAGCTCTTCCCCAATCCGTCCCTGAGAGCTCTTTCAAATGCTTACTTACGCCCTCACGACAGAGGGCCCAAAACAGTCCCAAGAGAGCCCCAAACAGATAAACATTCTTCCCCGCGCCTTCTGGAAATTCTTCAGGGGCCGACTTCGGGGAGCCTTGGAGCCCCTCGGACTTCTCAGGCCGTCTACGAGCGCTCCCCGAGGTCCATTTAGACCCCAAGGATAGCTAGCTGCAGGACTGTTCCAAGATGCCCCCAGACAAAAGCACACTCACGCGCCTACTTTGTCCCCTTTTCTGCTGCCCTCTTCGAGCCTTGCCAGAGCCCAGTTCGGACCGCCTTGGATCCTCTCGAGGTTCCATTGCCCACCTCCTTCAGCGTGCAGAAGCATCCAGGCCCATTACTTCGGGCCACAAGGGAAGTTTTAGGATTTCCCCGAGGGGGTCCACACGACAGAGAGTTGATCTCGTAACGCACGGCTCCTTCTTATGTTGGAGAGGCCATACGCCCGATGCCGCCGACCCTGAACCACGACGACGATGCTGACGTGGGTCATAGTCCTTAGGGATGCCTCTCGGGGTCTCTTCGGAACGCTGTCGGGGGCCTCTGGGGGGTAAGTTTGGGGCCTCTTGGGGGGTCTGTTGGGAGGCTCCTGGGGCCTCTTACTCTTACGGCTTACGGCTTTCCCGAGGGGATCCCATACGACAGGGGGTTGATTTCGTAACGAGGAGGTGTTGAACACTTCTCGAGCGAAACGCTTGTTTTCACGTGCCCAGGTCACCCAGGCGGACGTCTCACATGAAGATGCGTTGAGGATGTCTCGAGCGAACTACTTGTTTTCACGTGTCCAGTTCGCCCTGGCGGATGCCTAGCATGAGAATGTGTTGAGGATGTGTTTAGCGAAACGTTTGTTTTCACGTGTCCAGGTCGCTCGGGCGGATGTCTAGAATGAGGATTTTGACAGGATGTCTCGAGCGAAACGCTTGTCCCCAGCACGTTCCGTAGCGCGTCCCCTTGGCACGTCCCGCGGTGCGTCCCCATGGCACGTCCCCTGGCATGTCGCCTGGCGCGTCCCTTGAGACGTTCCGCGGCGCGTCCTCCTGGCATGTCCCCTTGTCAATTAGCTCTGCGGCAGATACTATGTGTTCAGGCAGCTCGAGCTTAAGATGCAGATCAGTTCGGTCAGGACTCGGATGCAAAGGAGGACTCGATCCACGACGCTATAGAGCACAACCGCGGCACGGCACATCGCAGTTCAGCACGGTGCAGCACAGCACAGACTTCGGCACGGTACATCATGATCGATACAATCAGCATTGCAACTTGGCACGTTCTTTGGCACGTTCCGTGGGGCGTCCCTTGGCGAGTCCCCCTGGCACGTCGCGTGGCGCGTCCCCTGGCACATTCCGTGGCACATCCATTGGCACGTTCCGTAGCGCGTCCCCTTGGCACGTCCAACGGTGCGACCCCATGGCACGTCCCCTGGCACGTCGCCTGGCGCGTCCCTTGGGACGTTTCGCGGCGCGTCCTCCTGGCATGTCCCCCTCTCAATTAGCTCTGGGGCAGCTTCTATGTGTTCAGGCAGCTCGAGCTTAAGATGCAGATCAGTTCGGTCAGGACTCGGATGCAAAGGAGGACTCGATCCACGACGCTATAGAGCACAACCGCGGCACGGCACATCGCAATTCAGCACGGTGCAGCACAGCACAGCCTTCGGCACGGTACATCAAGATCGATACAATCAGCATTGCACTTGCCCGTCACCCAATCAGGTGTCTTTGGAAAACGCTGCCATGCATTACATTTCTATATTCCTTTCAGGGTTCGTGGGTCGATCAGGTTCAATCGTTCTCTCCCATTTTTTATTAATCGTCATCCCGCATTAGTGGCCTTGGCCTTCGGCCCATCCCGCCACCGTGCCTGAGCAATTGTGGGTCTGAGGCCTCTTGTGTATGTGATGGGGTGTCGTGGGGCGCCCCAAGAGGGCCTCTTGGAGGTGGTTTGGGCGCCTCTTGGGGGCCTGTTGGGGCCTCGTGGGGTGTATCTTTTGGGCCTCTTGGAGGCCTCTTGGGCGCGTCTTGGGCGCCTCTTGGGGCCGCTTGGTGCCTCTTGGGGCCTCCTGGCCCTCTTGGAGGCGTCTTGGGCTGTCTTGGGGCGGTCTTGGGAGCTTCTTGAGCCGTCTTGGAGAGTCGGAAAGCCGAACATGCGAGAAGGCCAAAATCCTTGACAAACCTTAGTAACATCTACGATTTTTGCTTCTTGGGGCTCTCTCGGGAGGCCTCTTGGGGCGCTCCTGGGGCCTCTTTGGGCCCTCTTGGGCCGTCTTGGAACCATCTTCGGGCGCCTTGGAGCACTCTTGGCCTCGGCAATGCGAATACGGTGTAATTTGCGAAGGGTGGTGGCTTCGGGTGACGCAAATATTATGTAATCTACTACGGTTTGTGGCCTCGGGGACGGGAACATGGCGTAATTTACAGGGGATTCTGGCTTCGGGTGCGATCCGGGCGTGGTGAATTGAATCTTTTTGGGCTCCCCCCCTCGCGCGGATTTCAACAATTTACCGTAGGAAGCAGACAGCAGGACTGTAACATTGGAGACCTGAAACTGCAACTGGTGCAGAGCAGTAACTTCGTCCTATAGCCTGGTGGCCCCACAAGGGGGCCGGCGGATTTCTGCAATCTCCAGACCATCACCACATTTTGCTAGAACCAGAGCGCGCAGCGCGCGCGTGGTTCTAGTTCAATCTACGTGTTGAGCTCCGTGTCAGCACGCTACGGGTTGCGTGTAGCGTATCGGGGCAGCTCAGGTGCGTGGTGGCACGGCGGGTTCGTGAATGACGTTTTCGCCGAAGACGGCCCCGAGCTCGAGGACGAGGCGTCGTTCAGCAGCACCCTGCGGCACGGGGAGGCGGATATCGACGACTGCTTCGACGACACCGCCACCGTGTACTCGGACGGTGGTGAGCACGTCGTCAGCGTGAGATCTCCCAAGCAGTCCCGGATTGCGGAGGCGCCGGCCCCGCTGGTGCCCTCACGGGGAAAAGCGCTTGCCACGTGCCCCTCCCCCTCTGCGCTGGCTGCTTGGTCAGGCTCCGGGATCGGCAGCCGAAGCTGTTCGCGAGTTGCCAGGGTGTTGCTCGGGCGGAGCCGTGCCCGGGCCAGACCGTTCCAGATGGAGCGCTCTGAAACGACCGCTGAGTCCGCGACATCCTCCAGAGCCGCCGGACGTCAGAAATCCCCGATGTGTCCGGGTTCGATATGGTCCCGGTCCTGACTGACTGACAAACCATACACCAAGCGGTACGTGGGCATGAACGCTGGCTTAAAGAAGAGCCAGGGCCCTGGCTGCACGCCGGGCCACCGCAGTCGGCTACCAGTGAGAAGCTGTACTTGCGCGCTGGGGGCCCAGGGCATCACAAACGGGAACGGCGCGCAAATGGGTCACACTGGGACGACCAGGAGGAGGAGGAGGAGGAGGAGGAGGAGTCCCGGTCCTGGCCTCGTCTTATGCTGCGGCTCGGCGTCGCTTGCTCCCGCTGCTCCTCCACCTTGGGCGTGTGGGGCGACGGGATGTCGTGGCATCGCAGTGTCGCGGTGCCGCGGTGCCGCGGTTTGTCAAGGTAGTGTGGTGTCGTGATCTCGCGGAGTCGTGGCGTGCGGATGTCGAGTTGACGGTGGGCTTTCTCGGGCCGGGCGAAAGGGGGGGATTGGGAAAGGGGGGGTTACGAAATTTGCTGCATGCAGCTGGTTTCGGCCTCACCGAGGGGCCCATTCCTCGATACATGGCCGCCTCCGGCGCCGGGAGGCGCCGGGAAAATCAGCTACGTGAGCTGATTCTCAAACCCCCCTTTGCTATCCCCCCCTTTCGCCCGACCCGACTTTCCCCAGCGTGAACCGTCTCCGCATTATATCTCGACTGCAGGAACGCAGAGTTCGAATGGCCCGAAACCCGCATCCGCTGTGCATTGAAAATTGCATTGTACGTGAAGTTCAGTCATTGGTCCGATCGCTGGATCACTTCGTAATCAGTTGGCCTGCTGCGCAGCCGAACGTGACCCCTCGTTCCACAAGTGGGGACGGGGAGAGTAGTGAACTACGCAGATCTGTTTGGCTGTCGCAGGTCTGAAAGAGGCCTCGCCAAATCTCTGGACCGGGAGGTCTCCACTCTTTCGGGTGCCTGGTCTTCCTCCTGCTGCTCCCGCTGGGGCGACCACAGAAGAGCCAGCGGCCAGATTCTGTCTCCTGTCTCCCCATCCTCTCCCTCTCGGGAGGGGAGACAGGGTGTCAATGACACGCGCGTCGTCCTTCACACATGGCGCCCTGCTCATTCGCTCGTCGTAGCACACCGTGCATGTTTTCAGGAGTACCGCGCGAATGGGGTCGCCCGGCCGCCGCGACATTGATATCGCTTTTGCTCTCCAACCTTCGCCTTCCTGCCGCCAAGGTGTGCCCGAAGAACCACGTCCTGCAGCGTGCCCGCTGCACCGGCGAGTACGTCTGCGACCTCTGCGAGCGCACCATGGAGCCCGGGCAGGTCATCCTCGACTGCCGGGTGTGCAACTGGGGCCTCTGCAGGCTGTGCGAGCAGGACGCTCGACCCCTCTGCGGCCCAGAACCCCTTCCGCTGCGGCAAGGGTCGCGGCGGGGGCCGCTCTCGGCCTCCGGGGGCCTTCGCCGCGCCCTGGGGCCGTGAGTCAGGAGGGAAACAAAAAAACACAGACACCACTAATCGTCGATCCCAAAGAAAATATGGGGAAGTATGGGAATTGGGGGGGGGGAAGACAGAAATCTCCGAAGCATGGGAAACTATGGGGAAGCTTTTCATTTGTGTGTATTTCTTTGTGTGTCCTTGGGCCCCTTGAGTGAGGGGACGACGCGGGATGAGCTGCCCGTCCCGGCGAGCCGGCCCAGGCCACCCTGGGGGCCCGCGTGGCGGGAGATGCAGGCACGGCGCCGGAGCTCTGGGCCCTTGCGGCCGCCCTGCCTCCCTGGAGCCCTCCTCCGCCGACCCTCCCCCCCTGCGGTAGGTTCGCGTCGTGTCGGCTGGCGGCGACCCCTCGGCCGGCGTTCGGGGTTGAACGCCGCGGGCGACCCAGAATCGTTCGGTGTGGAACGATTCGGACGTCTCGGAAACGGCCGATCGTTCAAGGTCGAGCGATCCCCGCGGTGTCAGAGACCAACGCCGAAGTCGGCACGACGCGAGCCTGACGTACCCCCCCCCCCCCTCCTCCCCTGGCGCGCCCCGGGGGGCGCGCGGGTGGGCCCCCGAGGCAGGCCGTGGGAGGGGGTGCTTCCCGCTCGGCAGGTGCTCTTCCTCGAGAGCTCTCTGGCCGTCCGGGAGTCCAGCAAAAGCCTGGGGCTGGCCTCGAAGCTCCAGCGCCCTGGGGGGCCCCCAGCGCCAGAGGGGAGCCCAAGGGGCCCAGGCGGCCAGGCGGCTGGGCCAGCGCCCCCCTCCCCCGCTGCCGGCGGGTCTCAAGCCCCTCCCCCCTCATCCCCCCATCCCCCGCTGCAACGTCCGCGCGCGGGGGGCGGCCATCTGTTCCCTCGTGGCCCTCCCGTCGTGGGAGCGTGACGCCTGCCTCCACGTCCGCGGCCTCGCGCTCCTCTCGGCCCCGACCCCACGGACACATTGGGCGGCTTTGCGCTGGCGTCCCGCGCGCCAGTCCAGGTATGCGTGTCCATGGGGACACTCCTCGATGCTTAGAAGAAGCGGTCGCAAGTAGAGAACGCAGCTTTCTCGTCGCAGGCGCGCCTCTACCAGCGACACTGATGCGCGAATCGCTCATCGTTGACGACTTACGTTGACAGCATGCGTCGGACAAGTCCCGCTTGCTTCTGCCTCGGAATCGCGAACGCCCCCCTGTGGCTGCCGATCAGGACGTGGCCCTCGGCCACGTGAGTAAGTCTGGAGTCTATGGGATTGGCTGCGACGCCATCGGGGGCACGACGTGGGCCCACACGACATGTGCTCCAGCGGATCTCCCCGATCCCGAGCTCGGCCGTTCAGGAGAATGGCTCGCGGTAGAGAGGAAAACGCAGGGTGAGGCAGGGGCAGCCGCCGACACCAGGCACGGGGCAGGCACGGAGAAGCTATGGGCCAGCGACGCGACAGTGACAGACGTGCAGTGGGCCATATTGGCGTGGTGATCGGGGCTGGACAGACCTCCCACCCTGACACGCCGATTGAGGAATTGACCGTTTTCGGTTCGCGAGAGGGCGTCGCGGCCGTCGTTTTTGCGGGTCCAGGTCCATCGGTTTCGGTCCCAGGCCGTCTTTCACTAAAGGGAGGTTTACTAAAGGGAGGTTTGTCCACCGCCGAGGTGAGTACTGAGTATTGGCATGCTGACAGTTGCAGTTTTCGCGCTCAGCTCTGAGGAAGACGCCCCCAACAGGCAAAAGGGATGCCGCATGCTGAGGCACCGTCGCGCGAAGAGGAAGACTATTCTGGCCAATGCCCCGCCCGTGGGAGCGGACCAGAAATTCTCTTCAGTGTGCAGCCATCGCCGACCTCGAGGACGTGACGGCAACAATTCTCATGCGTAGCGGGTGCTGGAGAGATCTTATGCGCGAAAGCAGGTAGAGGTGCCATGTGTTGTTGCTCTGTGCACTTACTGTGCCGTTGCGTCACAACACAGACGTATCGGGATCACGTAGCTGCCCCTCCCCGCATCGGCGAGCGCCCGCATGGACTGGCGCGGGGCCCCGAGGTTCGGATTTTCGAGACTCTTCGCGGCCGATTAGGGTGCTGTCCAATCGAGGGGGTAACGCGTTTGCGCGGGGGGCGCGCAGCTGGGATCAGCGAAGGCATGTCCCAGCAGCGTGGCAGTTCCGCGAGCAAGGGCTAAGCTTTTGTGCCCAGGCTCGCGCGCCGTCACGCGGAAGAGTAACGCGCGCCCGCATGGCAGTGTGGCTCATTGTCAGTCGGTACAGAGGTGCGACCGGACGGAGTGCGAGAAGACAGGCTGCCGGCACACACGGGGTGGTCCGAGATGTGGTGGCCGAGTCAGAAGCAGGTTGCTTGCGTTCACGGGGGAGGCGCATGGGTGACCTCGGCTGCGAATGGGTGTCTTTTCGTTCGCGGTGAGCGGTTTAGTCGTGGTAAGACGGTGAAGTGCCGTCTTGGGGTTCCAGGCGCTGACGGACGCAGTGCGGACAAATGTGCTTGGCTCGGACAGTTTTCGGTGGTAGGTTGGCCCGCGGAGTTCAGCGGAATAGAGCTCCATCGAAGGCCCCAGTGGCAGGGTTCCCATACGGTTCCCCGCCCATTTCGGCACACCCCTCACACTGTTCGTGGCCCCATAGGGAGCTCCACCGAAGGCCCCAGTGGCAGGGTTCGCATGCGGTTCCCCGCCCATTTCGGCACACCTCTCACACGCTTCGTGGCCCCATTCGAGAGCTCCACCAGAGGCCCCTGTGGCAGGGTTCGCATGCGGTTCTTCGCCCATTTCGGTACCCTCCTCACACGTTTCGTGGCCCCATGGGGAGCTCCACCGAAGGTCCCAGGGGCAGGGTTCGCATGCAGTTCCCCGCCCATTTCGGCACGCCCCTCACACGGTTCGTGGCCCCATAGGGAGCTCCACCCAAGGCCCGATTGGCAGGGTTAGCATGCGGTTCCTCGCTTATTTCGGCACACCCTTCACGCGTTTCGTGGCCCCATAGGGAGCTCCACCGAAGGCCCCAGGGGCAGGGTTCGCATGCAGTTCCCCGCCCATTTCGGTACATCCCTAACGCGGTTCGTGGCCCCATTGGGAGCTCCACTGAAGGCCCCAGCGGCAGGGTTGGTTCGCATGCGGTTCCCCGCCCATGTCGGCGCACCCTTCACACTGTTCGTGGCCCCATAGGGAGGCCCGTCGAACGATGGACCCAGAACGCGGTATCCACAACTGCTTATGTTCGCCGCCGTCAGGCTGCTTGTTCTTTCTCTTGACCTGCGCCTTTTTGGCAAGAGACCTCGACGTGGTGGGGCGCGGCCGCGTAGGCGGGGGCCTGCGTGCGACGCGAGCGCCCCCTGGGTCGCACCTGCCGTTCCAGTGCCGACGGAGGCTCAGGAGCGACAAGAGGACGTACACGTACATGAATCCACGCTGGTTTCGAGAGTACGCGTTGCGCAAATGTTCGTACAACGCGGCCGGTCTCGCGGATCGAGGGTCCGTGTTCATGTACACAGCTGGGCGCGTACGTCCTCTGTGGGCTCCCCAGGAGACGGTCCGTTCGTGAGCTCGGCCTGCCGCCGCCCCGGCGGCGCGAGGCGCCGGTTGCCGGTCGGCGCGCGGAGGTGCTGCGCAGTGGGCGCCCGTGGTGCGCGGGGCTGGCGGCGCAGTGCTGCGGGTCTCTTTCTGGCGTCAGCGCGCAGAGCTGCGGGCGCAGTCCGTCCGAGGGGTGCGCGGCCGCGCGTTCCGTGACGAGGCCGTTCCTGCTGCGCCGTCTCTGCGTTCTACTCTCTGCATGGCGTTCGTCTGCGCTGTGTCTGCGCTTTGCCATCTCTGCTCCTGCCTTTCCCGTTCTGGGATGTCGCCCATTTCCGCCTTCGAAGGAAGTTCGTGTGAGCGGGTGGAGCGACGGAAGCTCCCTGGCCCCGCTGGTGAACGCTAGCGCCAGTCAAGCTGCCGTGCAAGTCCGCTCAGGCACAAAGTGCTCGGGCGTTGCCAGAGGTGACCTCGGCCCGCGGCGCCTCGTGGATTCGCCGGGCGCAGAAGGCCCCAGGAGCATCAAACTTGAGCGAAAACTTGGGAACGCCGTGGACCGCGTATCTCGGCCGGTGAGGGCTTGAGGCAGGTGCGCTTCCGAAGCCGCGATGGATGTGCGCGTGCGAGCGGAGGAGCGTTCGCGCCGCCTCCGCGCGACCCGGCGATGCGGGGGGCGCCCAGGCTGCGCGCGAGCACCTGCCTTCGATCAGCAGTGGACGGGTGCTTTCCGGATCCTCCATGTCCGAGGGCGAGGGCTTCCTTCGGCTGTCCGCCCGCCCCTCCTCCCAAGTTGTGTCAGGAGGGGAAGAAACACACAGACACTATTAATCGTCGACTCCCCAGAAAATATGGGAAAGTATGGGAACTGGGGGGGAAGACAGAAACCCAGAAACTATGGGAAAAGATGGGGAATCTCTTCCTCTGTGTGTATTTGTTTGCGTGTCTGTGGGCCCCTTCAGAGTCGTGGGCGGCCAGCTCGGGAGTGGCGCTGCTGCCCCCGCAGGCCGTCGGGAGCCGGGCGGTGGCCTCCGCTCCCCCCGTGCCCTTCCCGCCCCCTCTCTCTCCCCGCCGTCCTCGCGCGGCTGCCGAAGGGGTGCCGTCGGGTTCGAGCGCGGCACCTTTCAGGAGGAGAAAAAACACACAGACACAATCCGTCGTCGATTCCCAGGAACATGTGGGAAACTATGGGAAGTGGGGGGGAGACAGAAACCCGGAACATATGGGAAACTATGGGGAATCCTTTTATTAGTGTGTATTTATTTGTGTGTCCCCGGGCCCCTTCATCTCTCCCCGCCGTCTCCGCGCGGCCGCCGAAGAGGTGCCGTCGGATCCGAGCGCGGCACCTTCGCGTTCCGGTTGGGAGGGCCACGGGGGTTTCTCGCTGCGTGCCTGGCCAGGCTGGGGGGCGCGACGCCCCCCGCGCCCGCGGGTGGGCCGGGCTTCGGCGGGCGGGCGCCGCGGAGCCGACGTCATCAGTTACGCGGCAGGGATCGAAGCGCGAGAGAAACCGGCGTGGCAGCTGCGAGAGAACTGCGACAGCGCGCCCAGGGCGGGGCCGCCGCCGACGACGCAGGCCCGCAGTGACAAGCGCCATCAGCTACCAGGTGGGAATCGGCGCGAGGAAGAGGGGCCGTTTCCACCGTTGCCACTCAGCGAGATGTGGAAGACCTGGCCCCGTCAGCTGCGGCCCCTCGATCGGGGCGCGCGAGATCGGCGATCCGCGGCTGGCGTCGCTGGCATCGCCCAGCGAGGAGAACTGAGAACTGGAGCCCGAGAGCGTTGGCAACGGCGCTGGGCGCAGCGTGCGCGAGGGGGGCGAGCGCTGGCAACAGTCTCTTACCAGCCTCGAGCGTATCCCTATCCCCAAGATGGACACGCCGAACGGCGATGACAATCTTAGGCATCCGCCCTCAAAAAATAGGGAATCCCTAAGATTGGCATCGTAATGAGGAGGTGCCCAGTATAGGGATAGGGATCTGTTCCAGGCTGGTAATCGCTGGGTTCCCGCTCCCCCCTTTTCTCCTTCCCGCCTCGGATCCGCCGTTCTCTTGCTCTTCTGCTCGGCCTCGCTGCACTTCCCTCTCTCCCCTTCCGCCCTGCGGCCCTCGACTGGCTGGTCCAACTCGACACCCCCTGTCCATCCCCCCCCCCGTCCACCCGTTGTCGTCGCCGCCATCTTTGTCCTCCTCGTCCTCCCCGTTGTCTCCGCCACTGCCTCTTATCCTCGCAGTCGCCGTCGTTTCCGCCGCCGCCGTCGTCGTTTCCGCGCGGCGGCGGAGACGTCTCCGCCGCCGCGCAGAGCGGCGTGGCAGGCGACGTGGGGCCCCGCTGCCACCAGCTGCAGCGCTGGGGCCGCCCGGGCGCGCGAGGAGAGCAGGTGGCGCCCTGCGGCTCCGGCAGGGCCGCGGCGGCGCTCGAGCCGCCCTCGCCCGCGCCGGCGCTGGGAAGCGTTCGCGCGGCACGGAGCGATCGGCGACTACAAAGGATGTGGTTACGCCGGGGTGTGGTTTGCGATCGGCACTGTTGGGGCCTGGGGGGCACGACACTGTCCACGTCGGGCCTCCTCGGGGCGCGGGAGAACTCTATCGAGGTCCCCGCGCGCCCCCCAGGGTGACCCCCAGGATGTTCCCTAGGGTGCCGGTTGCAAACCACACCCTTTGCAAACCACACCCTTTGCAGTCGCCGAAGCGAGCTGACAGCAGTCAGGAGGGAATGGGGAACTGTGGGGAGTGGGGGGGAAGACAGAAAGCCAGAAGATATGGAAAAATAGGGGGATTCCTGTTAGTTGTGTGTGTGTGTGTTTAATTGTGTGTTTGTGGGCCCCTTCAATCATCGGCTGCAACGCTGGTGACATGTCGGGCGAGAGCGTGCGAGCCGACAGGGTTGGCGTCGGCGCTGGGAGTAGGTCGCGCCAGAAGTGCCGCCCAGGCATCATCAGCCGCGATGCCGAGGACAGACTGCGCGGGCATGACCGCAGTGGGAGACGTCGGAGCGCGGGCCCGACGTCGTTCGCGCGAGCGCTCGCGCGAGCGGCGGGCAATAGCAGCGAGCGTGATGAAGTGCAGCCGTGGGATTAGCTAGCGCGAGGGAGGCTCGGGAGCTCGCGTGCGAGAGCGGCGGGGGAGGGAGTGGATCTTCAGCTGCAGCGCAGGGATCAGCTGGCTTGCGCGATGCAGCAGGCCGCGGCAATCGGCGCTGCCAGTGCGAGAAGGCGGTCATTGGCAGCGGGTTCTGAGAGTCAGCGCAGACAGCTGACCCAATCCAGTCAAAATTGGTCGGCCTCAGCAGCGGTGCAGAGGCGCGCGGGAAGGGCGGGCGGTGGCAGCGGGCGCGGGTGAAGGTCGCGAGCCCAACGCCACCAGGTACACTGCTGGGCCCGTCGTCGAAGCCATCGGGGGGCAGCGGCAGCGGGCGCGATCAGCTGCAGCCTTGGGGCCAACTCGTGCGAAGGGGCTCGAGAGTGCGCGTGCGACAAGCATGGGTGGACAGTGGGGCGCGCGACAGAAAGCAGGCAGTGGCAGCAGGTGCCCCGGCGCCAACAGGGGTTCGTGCGCGCGGGGAAGCACGCAGTGGCATCCGCTGCAGCGGCGCGACCAGCTCGTGCGAGAAGGGCGCAGGCGTGTGCGCCACGCTCGAGATGCAGCGCGTCTGCGGACGATCCGCTCCCTGCGTGGGGAGGTGGCCCCTGTCTCAACTGCAGCGCGGGGATTGCGAGTGCGAGAGGCAGGTGCCGAGACACTCCTCCTCCTCCTCCTCCTCCGCCTCCTCCTCCTCCTCCTCCCCAGCAATGCGAGAAGGGCGGGGGCACCTCCTGGCCGTCACCGTGGAATGGCTGACATCCGCTGACACACCTGCCCCTTCTACAGGCCAATGGGCTCGGCTGTTTTGAGTCTGGCACGGGGTCGGCCCGCGTTGCGAAGTTCGGCCGCGAGACCTTCGGGGCGCCTGCGTGTCCTGTCACTCGCTCGACCGCGACCCCTCCCCGCGATGCTCTTTTGTGGGTCCCCCGTCGTTTTCTTCTCTTACCACTCCGAGCGTCAGCGGCTGAAGGCGCCAGAACGTAGGCGACATCCGAGTAGCGTCGGAAAAGGGTGTGTCCGTCATGTTGCATGCCACGAGCAAGCAAGGGAGCCAGGATATCATTACACCTCGCATCTATCATGTCTCTATTCCCCCCCTGCCCAGGCCTTCCTCCCCGCTTCGCGCCCACTCGATCCCGCCGTTTCCGCGCCTCCCTTCTCCGCCTCCCGCCCATTCGATCCCGCCGTTTTCGCGCCCAGCCTCCCTGCTCTTCTTCCCGCCTGCTCCCCCCCCTCCCGCTTTCCTCCGTTTCGGCCGCCCCCTCTCTCCCCCCCTCTCCCCCGCTCAGCTTCTTAGCTGAGGGGGCCCAGCCGTCCTTCCTCCCATGCGCCCTCTTCCCCGTGCCCCCCGCCTCGCTCGCCGCCCCCTTTGCCTCCTTCCCCCCCTCGCCCACGTCCCCCCCTTTTCCCATCCCTCCTCTGCCCACCCAGACTTCCGATTTTTTGTTGTTTTTTCTCAAAGCGGGGGCCCCTGGGGCCAGACCCGGGAGGTTTTTGTATCCCGCGTCGGTTCTTGATGGTCCCTGGGCTCAGCAAAGGCCCCCGAGCGGCCAACAAAAGGTAGCACACCGTCCGTCGTGACTGTTCACACACAAGAGGTCTGGGCCCACTCTTCTTGTACCGGTTGCCAAGGACGCGCGGCCCTCATCCCCGGCTACCCGGGTGCTCGCCGACGTTGTCCCTGGAACCCGGAGCTGGGGCGGCGGCTTCCGGACGCCCGGGAGTGCGCCGAGCGCCATCTTCGTGGGCATGCACCATCTCCGGCCAGAGGAGTCTTCGTGCCCTTCCTCCTCGTCCCATTTGCTGTCGGCGTCGCCCAGCACGGGGAGGGAGAACGGAAGGAGGAGGGAGGAAGGAGGAGAGGAGAGGGAGGAGGGAGGAGGGAGGAGGAAAGAGGGAGTAGAGAGGACGGAGGAGGTCGAGGAGGAGGAGGAGGAGGAGGAGGAAGACAAGGAGCGAGCACATGGGAAGACGCGCCGAGTTCGGGTTCGGGGATTTACCGGGGGCGAACGCAAGAGAAGAGCAGCACAATCTACCACACAGTATAAATAACGCCAACGCCAGAGAGAGAGAGAGAGAGAGAGAAAGAGAGAGAGAGAGTAAGAGCGAGAGAGAAAAACAATCATCGCATTCGTGCGAGGGGGATGCGACATCGCCGACGCAGCTCTCGGGGCCCGACACAGCCACAGGAGGCAACGAGTGTAAAGTGTAAAGCCAAGCAAGTTACGCAGATACTATGATATGGAAATGAGGCCGAGCCACCCCACAGCATCGTCTGTCCCTTCGAGCACTCGGGGGACAGGGAGGGGGGCTCTACCTTTGGGGCTCTTCAGGAGCCCCCAACATGAAACTGTCCTTCCGCCATTTCCGCTGGGTGACTGTCGACCAACAGGTCGGGGCCGCAGCAGCTGCACAGCTGCGAGCGGCCTCCACGAGCAGAGAACGCACCACGCAGAGCACAACCGACACGGTCACTGGAGCTGCACCGGCGGGGTCCTCGGGCGCCCTCCGTGGCCACGGCTCCAGAAAGGGGGCCAGGCGGGGCCCCGGGAGGGACGGCCTGGCACCCTCCGCGAGGAGGGGCCGACCTCTGGGCGCTTCGTCGGGCCCCTCGCAACGGCGCTCCGCGCGGCCTCCGAGGGCCCAGGAGGAGGCTCCTGGACGGGAGGAGGAGGACGAGGAGGAGAGAGGAGGAGGACAAGGAGGAGAGAGGATGAGGATGAGGATGATGATGAGGATGAGGATGAGGATGAGGATGATGATGATGCTGATGATGATGATGCTGCTGATGATGATGATGATGATGAGGAGGAGGAGGAGGAGGAGGAGGAGGAGGAGGAGGAGGGAGGAGGAGGAGGGAGGAGGAGGAGGCGGGCGCACCTCTCGAGCGAATTCTCCCTAGGGGCGGCGCGGCGAAACCGCCCCGAGGGCGAGGCGAGGCAGGCGGGGAGGCTCAGCCGAGGACGAGCTGGGAGCAGCGGGGCACGGGCCATCGGCTCGTCAGTCACGGCCCCACCAGAGCCCAGGCACGCATCGCTGGGGTGGCTGGGCATCGCTCGGAGGTGTGCACTTTTTTCTCGGCGTGGACCAGCGAAGAGCATCCTGGATCATCGAGCGAGAAAAACGCGCACAAAACCGAAAAACGCACAGGGAATGGACGTCCGAGCGACGGCAAGGTGAGGGGGAGGCCAGGAGCGAGGCACAGGCACAACCGAGGACGAGCTGGGTGGGTGGGGGGGCGGGGTCCAGGCCAGGCTGGTCCTGCGCCTGGGTGGTGCTGGCTGTCGGCTCGACAGTCACGGCCTGACCCGAGTCCTGACTCGCATCGCTGGGGCGAGGGGGAGGCCAGGAGAGAGGCTCAACCGAGGACAAGGAGGGGGGAGTGGGGCCGGAGGCTGCTTACCGCAGATTCTCCTACGAACAGCTCGACCCTCCTCGACCTTCGAGTCCGACGCGAGGGCTCTCTTCCTACCAGGTCCTGGGCCACCTCCAAGGCTCGGGGCAGGGGTACGCGGACGGCACGGCTGCACACAGCCCGGCTCGGCACTCATGCGTCTTCTCCCCGCCCAGGACCTGGCAAACGTATGACAGTGAGCGCACTTCCACCCGTTCTGAGACCAGGCGGGGGCGTGCGGAGCGGCGCCATTCGCAATGCCAGGATGAATTCTTTTTGTCATCACCGCTGGCGGTCGACCAGCGAGCTTCGAGCTCCTCGTCTTGCGGCCGATGGGGTCGACCCTGTCGGAGATGCCCTCGCCGAGCTGCGCCTGCACGTTGCCGATCCACGCTGCAACCTGGCGGATCTCCTGCAGCAGGGACGCGTGCTGTTCGATCGCCGCCTCTGGGATGTCATGACCACGGAAACCTCGTTTTGCGTCGATGTCCGCCCAGTCATTGCCGATCTTGTCCAGCCTGTCGGGCATAGCGAGCTCGGCTTGGTGCGACTTCACCCAGGAAATGCAGAGGTTGTTGGAGATCCCGCCTGAGTCCTGCATTACATGCCAGAACTGCTTCCAGATGTCGAGATGGTCGCGTCGAACGTGTAGACACCAGGCTGACCCTTTCTGAATGGCGTCGACGATGGTGAATCCGTTTTGATGACGAGGGGCAAGATGCAGTGCTTCACCACCTGGATGATGGCGCACAGCTCGGCCCTCGGCGCTGACTGCTCGAAGCCAGGCAGCGGTCCGAACGCCAGCCCCTTGCAGCGGTGACGATGCATCACCGCGAAGCCCCATCCCGCCCTGGTCGCCTCGGGCCAGCCTATCGCAGGGCGCCCGATCCGTCGGTGAAGACTGTCCCCGTGATCATGAGGCCGCTCTCCCACCTGTCGTAGTGCCGCTGGCCGGTCATGATGGGCGGCGGGACCTGAGGCAAGCGAGCTCTCGGCATGAGAGCGCGTGTGCAGAGGGTCGTTGATTGTAGATACTTCGGTCCGATCAATGATGTCGGCGTCGACGGCCTCGGCGCACATGCTGCATGCGTGTGGGCAGTGCCAGAACCGATGGTGTAGTGTGCCGTCCCAGCCTTCACCGCATATCTGGCAGTAGTCCATGTTGGAGAACTGATGCTTGGCCAAGCGCCGCTGAGACCTCTGGCCTCCAATGATGGTAGACCGAATGGCCCCCGCTGCACGCACTACCAGACACCGCAACTGCGCTGTCGGCGGCGCATTCAGCATCATGCGCAGCGGCTTGGGCCAACAGCCTCGAGGATCTCGGGCAGGCGAGACCGTCTCTGGTGCCACATCAGCTTTCCTAGACCACGATTCCCACTTCACATTGACGAGCGCACGGCGGCCGACCCTGCGGACCCACGTCGACGCGTGCGAAGCGAGGTCGAGCTCGATGCTTGTTCCTGTAGTCCACGTCGCGCAGCCTGACTATCTCCAATTGAGCTTCTTGAGGCAGGTGATCACGGCGCTGGCGGGACCAGCAATGAGCTTCCACGGCGATCGAACTCCGCGACCCCAGCGATCCTGACTCTCCCACGCCTTGGCCAGCACGTCGTGGCTAACCACGCCCTCCATGACCAGCTGCGCCCACTTGGCGAGGGGCCCGACGGTTGCGATGCATTGGCAGCTGGTGTGGAGACGGCTCGAGCTGCGACGCAAGCCAGGTCGACGTAGTTCGGAAATTGAAGCCTATACATTACCAGTGGCGGGCCGTCTTCCAATCCCAGGACTTTGTGAGGGTCGGGGACGACGTCGGGGTGGTGTAGTGTATACTTGTTTCCCCGTCTTCCCAGGAAGCATTGGAACATGTATACACCAGGGTCCCATATACACCAGGCTCCGCTTTCTTGCGCAAAGGTCCGTGCAGGGCCGCACAAAAACGTCGGTGTAGAGAGCGTGGTTCCCTAGTAGGAGCTGGTGTCTTGCCCCAGCCTGCTCCCGTAAGCCTCGTCATGGTAGCCAGCGTCGATTGGGGGGGCACTGACCACCTGGAGACCGTGCTGCATGGCGGGCCCCAGGCTGGGAGTCCCGCCCTTCTTCGCCAACTTGAGATTGCTTCGATGCCTGCGAAACCTGGGGGCGCGCTGCCTGACCTTTCGCACCCTCCTTGTGCATTGCCGAGAACGAAATGGGTTTACCTGCTCGCGTCTCCATGTCAAGTGCGATCAAGGAGGTGGCAGCTCGAAACCCATGCCGCTTCGTGAGCGCGACCACCTGCTTTGCCACGCCGATGTCCGAACTGAGCACTTTCGCCTTGTCCTTAGCGATAGCCAGCTAGAGGGCCCCCAGCATCACCGCGAGCCTGTTGAGCATGGCCGTCGCGGTGACCGCGATGGTGCTGATGTGCTCGGATCCCTGCACTGTGACGTCATCGGCGTACACGTCACGGACCTGTGCACATGAGAGGTCGAGGCCGCGAACACGTCCACAGGGGGTGATCATCACGAGCTGGAGCAGATACATCGCCGCCGTACATCCTGTCAGCATGCCTTGTTCCGCCCGCACCGCGTAGGAGTACGTGCTGCCCCTGCGAATTTTCCGCGTGGCGAAGTACAGGCTCATCACCATCCTCAATCTCGCAATTGGGAGCCTGTACTTCAGAGCTGCCATCGTGAACTTCATTCACGCGACCCTGTCGAAGTATTTGCTGACGTCGATCAGCGCGATGACGATGGCGGTCCCTTCCTGCTCGTCCACCGCCTTGGCGTGCACCATGGTGCGAGCGGCAACGTCCACCGTGGACTTGCCCTGGCCAAGCGCGAAGAAGGGCCAGTATGCTGAAGCGCCCGCCGCCTGATGTGCGCCAGGCGCGCCTTCGCGTGGATCCTGTACAAGGCTGGGATCAAGGCGATGGGCCTGAAGCCGCCTGAGGGCTTCCCCAGCAGCATGACGTGGACGGATAGCACTGCCGACGGCCATCGTGACCAGACCAGGGCAAGAGCGTCGTCCGACAGCAGGGAGAAGGCTCTCGGCGAGAGCCCGTCTGCACCCGTGCCTGTGCGCCAGGGAAAGGATGCAGCTGCGCGCCTGGGGTCCCCCACCTTTGGCACCTCGAGCGCCTCGTGAGGGGGGCCGCGCGTGAAAATCGCGACCTCGGAGTCCTGATCGATCAGAAGGTCGACGTCGAACTCCTGATCGTCATCCTTGAGATGTCCAGCCGCATCATCTCGAGCCTCTGGGTGTGCCGGCAAAAACCGTGACGACATGACCGCCGCGTGGTACTCGGCTGCCTTCCACCCGATCTCGGCGTGGACCTCGATCTCGCTGGCCTTCGGCGTGAGGACGGTGCCGTCCCGGATGTCGTTCCAGTGGTCCATCTGGCCTTCGGCAGTAGCCTGAGGGAGCGATGACCCGATGCCGAACCTGTCGACCTCCCTGTGCGCCCACCCCTTCAACCTGGTCATGGCGAACAGCGGCGCGGGCCCCGTGACCATCGCATCCTCGGCCCGCTCCTGGAAGGCCGGGGTGCGCCCTCTGGCAGCGAGAGTCCGCACGGGGGGCGGCGTGCTGCTCGGGGAGCTCCGCGCAGGCACTGCTGATGACGCTGGCCGCATCAGCCTCGCATGAGAAAGCGTGGTGGGCCACAGCCCGCGCCCGGCTGATGAGGGTTTTGCCTGTGTCAGTGTGCACGTCCTGCGTGTGTCACGGCCGCAACGCGCGCCCAAGTCGAGCCCGCCGCGACTGAGGCTGCAGGCGTTGAGCTCCATTGGCCGAGAAGGCCTCTGGCCGCCACCGCCACGCTCCGCAAGTACCTCGGCTCGGCTCCTGCCGCGAGGTGCCAGCCACGCGCGGGGCCTCCCATCGGCCGCCAGACGCAGCGAGGACCTCTGCCTCGCCCGCCGTAGCGCACGGGCTCCTTCACCTGGCATGTGCGGCAGAGGTCCTGCTCGATGAAGGGCAGCATGCCCCCGTGCAAGCTGTCGAGCCGAGCTTGTGCCTCCGTGCTATCGTCTGGAGCAGTCCCTTCTGAGCATCGGCTTGGACACGCACGAGATACCCGCGGTCTTCAGGCGCGCGGGAAGGCCTTCGGCGCTGCCCATGTGAGTTGCGCGTGCGTGTGTCGGCGAGGCTGTGCCGAGAGGTCAAAACGAACTGGATGATGAGGTCGAGGCATCCAGCTCTCCAGGAACCGCCCTTAATCCGTGGAGCTCTTGCAACTGTTCAAAACTGTTTAATACAACGAATGTGCGCCGCGCCAAGGCGAGAGCCACATTTTGAAAACCACCCGCCCTCCATTTGTGAAACTGGTGCCAATGTTTAAGCTTCAGAGTCGTAAGTGGTGAGGAAGTTTCATTCGAAACGCCAGGCCCGCCTTAAAAACTGGCCTCGGGGTGCAACAGGGACAAGTTATTTAGAAAAGGATTGGAGGAGAAGGAGGAGGAGGAGGAAGAGGAGGAGGAGGAGGAGGAGGAAGAGGTGGAGGAGGAGGAGGAGGAGGAGGAGGAGGAGGAGGAGGAGGAGGAGGAGAGGGAGGATGGGGGGGGCGGAAAATGGAGGAGGAGCAGGCGGAAGACGAAGAGAATAATAAGAATAGTATTGCGAAGCCGACTACTAATAATACAAGCAATAAGGCAAACTGCGGAGGATGAATACGACGAATAAAAATATTACGGAATTGTTCAAACATAATCTTATTCTCACGGTAAATATGGATGACACTAAGAGGACAGCCCAGACGAATACAACAACGACAAAGGATAACACCACTAATGATAATACACATGCAAGTGAATATAACAATATAACAAGACGCATACCCATACTATGAACACATACCAACATAATAAACATAGTACTGTAAATTCTGGCACGACTAAGACTGATACTACTAATCTGCAGCATCGGTATTCGCATATTAATATGAATAATACGAGTAGGAGGATGACGACCAGAGTGTAGACCCAAGGGTCATCATTGATGGTGGAATAAGCCCTCCCTCCAGACTCCCTCTTCATAGGCCCCTGCAGCGCTTCATTTCCACTGAAGGAACTGCCTCGTTGGAAGAGAACCGTTTGAAGATCCTGAAGCATGCCGAAGCATTGTTCTCGACATTCCAACGCCACGGATCATACTTACTGCTGCGTCGTGGCGATCCAGAATCGTGCCAGAACGCCGTTCCTGGGACTTCAACACCGCGAATCAATGTCACTGTTGCGCCCTCATAATCTTGAATCCTTCCAACACACCATTTCTGATACGTTGACCTTGAGAATCCGTGACACTTTTGCACATGTTAAAACGAATGTCCGCGGCGCTGATGCGAGAGCCACGCTTTGAAAACGGCCAGCCCTCAATCCGTGAAACTCTTGCACATTTGTAGGCTGAATGTCCGTGGCGCTAATGCGAGAGCCACACTTTGAAAACGGCCCGCCCTCAATCCGTGAAACTCATGGTATAAAACAACGAATGTACGCGGCGCTAAGGCGAGAGCCACATTTTGAAAACGACCCGCCCTCAATCCGTGAAGCTCTTGCAAAGCTTTGAAACGAATGTGCGCGGGGCTAAGGCGAGAACATCATTTTGAAAACCACCCGCCCTCTATTTGTGAAACTGCTGCCAATTTTAAGCTTCAGGGTCATACGTGGTGAGGAAGTCTCAGGCGAAACGCCCGGCCCGCCCTAAACATTGGCCTTGGGGTGCGACAGAGGGAGCCCCGGGGAAGTTATTCCCCAATCAGAGCTTGCCTCTGTAGGGGTCTTAGCGGATTCATATGGTTAGGTGAGGTGTGTCACCGATTTCCGCGGCCCGCCCGGGTGCCCGGGTGCCCGGGTGCTTCATAGCCCTATGGCCCTATTGCCCTGTAGCCCTATAGCCCTATAGCCCTATGGCCTCCTAGCCGCATAGCCCTATAGCCCTATCGCCCTAGAGCCCTATAGCTCTATATGGCCCTATAGCCCTATCGCCCTAGAGCCCTAGAGCACTACAGCCCTAATGCCCTATAGCCTGATAGCCCTGTAGCCCCATAGCCCGATATCCCCATAGCCCTACAGTCCAATAGCCCAATGGTTCTATAGTCGTATGCCCAATATCCCTATAGCCCCATAGACCTATAACCCTACAGCCCTCTAGCCTTATAGCCATGTAGCCCTATTGCTCCATATCCCTATAGCCCTATCGCTCTATTTGCCTATAGCCCTATAGCCCCATAATCCTATATCCCTATAGTCTTATAGTCTTATACCCCCATGGTCCTATAGCCCTATAGCCCCATAGCCCTATAGACTCATAGTCCTATGGCCCTATAGCCCAATAGCCACATAGCCCCAGAGCCCCAAAACCCCATAGCCCTATAGCCCTACAGCCCTACAGCCCTATAGCCCTACAGCCCTATAGCCCTATAGACCTATAGCCCCATGGCCCTAACCCCCCATAGTCCTATATCCCTATGCCCCATAGCCCCGTGGTCCTATAGCACTATAGCCCCATTTCCCTATAGCCCTAAAAAGACTTAAATTGGGGCTTCCTCCAGTATCATTCACCAGGAAGAGGAGGAGGAGGTGGAGGAGGAGGAGGAGAAGGAGGAGGAGGAGGAGGAAGAGGAGGAGGACGGGTAGGAGGAGGCTGAGGAGGATAGAGCAGAAGATCCGGAGGAGGCGGAGCAGGATGGGGGAGAGCCTGCGCCTCTCCTTCTGCGTCCAGCCCGTGCCCCGCTGGACCGCCTGCGGGCGGGAAGAGCACGGATCTCGCTCGGTCCCCCGCCAGCTCCCTGGGGAGAGGACGCGCTCCTGGAGCTGGAGTCCGACTCGTCCGACCGCCAGGCCGACGCGCACTTCGCGAGGGCGGCGGCGCAGGACGCCCCGGAGCGCCAGGACCCCGACGTCTTGCTGCCTGCACGCTGCTATACCTCGGCGGCGGGCGAAGTCCGATCCCTGCCCTCGCCCCCGTCCACGGTTCCGGCAACCCGACGGGCGGCGGGGGCAGGGTTCAGAATTCGACGAGCATCCTGCCAAATCTGGACCCCACCCCACCTCCCATCGGCTCAGAAGAACCTCGGGGGTGGACAGAACCCCCAACAGTGACACGTCGTTATTTTCCAGGCTTGCGCCCGCCAGGTTTGGGCCTCAGGTCGTTTTCACTAAACCGCGTTTTACTAAAGGGGGGTCTGTCCATCCCCGAGAACCGATGGCTGGTGGGGGTCGGATGTCGCCACCTAGTAACGGGTCCTCTCTTTTGCTCTTTCCTTTTCCCCTGCTGCCCGTGCCGCAATGCGCTTCTGCCCGCGCCCACGCGCAGCCCGCCCGCCACTCGGATCCGAGACGCCGCCGACCAGAGAAGCTGCTGTAACTGGTGGCCTACGCCTAATCCAGCCACCGTGCCTGGGTCGTGGGCCAGGGGGCTCTTCGAGGCAGGGAGGGAGGGAGTGAGAGGTGGGAGGGGAGGGAGGGTCTAGGCCTCCTAGATGGGGTCGGAGTAGATGGGGTCGCAGGATTGCGCCGCACCGCCGATGCATCGGCGATGCGGCTCGATGTGGAGCCCGTGTTTTCCCACGCCGACGTCGCCGATGCATCGCTGATGTCGTCGATGCATCGCCGGCGCATCGCCGATGCATCGCCGATGCATCGCCGATGTATCGGCGATGCGGCGCGTTCCTCCGACCCTATCTGCTCCGACCCCATCGAGGAGGCCTCCAAGGGGGCTCTTCGAGGCCCCTTGGGCCTGCTGGGAATCTCGAGCCCATCTTTCGGGGGTGGACAGACCTCCTACCCTAACACGTCTATTCAGGAATTTGCCGTTTTCAATTCGCGAGAGGGCGTCGCGGCCGTCATTTTTGCGGGTTCAGGTCCGTCGGTTTCGGTCCCAGGCCGTTTTCACTAAAAGGAGGTTTACTAAAGGGAGGTTTGTCCACCGCCGAATCTTGTTTACAGGAAAGGCTTCCAGGGGTCCGTCCCGGAGATGTCGTTCAAGCTTCTGGGATCTTCTCGGAGTCTCGGCGCTCGTTCTCGAGCCTTCTTTGGGGCCTCCAAGGCCCTCTTGGATCCTCTGGATGCCGAAAGCGCGGTGCTGAGCTGATTCTCCACGTTTGCTGCTGTCCGATGGTTGCGGTTTTTTCGATGTTACCTATGAGGCAATTTTTCGCGTGCTACATATATCTAATGGCATTCGGCCCTCTTGGGACCGCCTGGCGGCCCCTCGGGGCCGAGGGCTCGAAATGCTCGTTCGGGCCAACCCATCTGGGCCCCTCTTGGAGCCGTCTTTGGGGCCTCTTGGCTCGTCGGGGGCGCCTCATGGGGCCCTCTTGGGACCCTCTTTGGGGCCTCTTGGCTCGTCTGGGGCGCCTCTTGGGCTGTCGTGGGGCCCTCTTGGGGCCCTCTTGGGGGCCGTCCTGGGGCCGTCCTGGGGCGATCTTGGGGGCCTCCTGGGCCGTCTTGGAGCGTAGCGACGCAGAGAGAGCGCCCAAATGTAAACACAAAAGCTGCCAATCAATGTTTTTGGCCTCTTGGGAGGCCTCTGGGGGCCCTCTTGGGGCGTCTTGGAGGAGGAGGAGGAGGAGGAGGAGGGGGATGAGAGGAGGAGGAAGAGGAGGAGGAGGAGGAGGAGGAGGAGGAGGAGGTGGAGGAGGAGGAGGAGGAGGAGGAGGAGGAGGAGGAGGTCTCTTGGGCCGTCTTGGGGCCATCTTGGGCGTTGTGGGGCGATCTCCGGGCGTCTCGGGGCCCTCTTTCGGGGCCCTCCGGGGCCGTCACGAGAGTCTCTTGAGGCCCTCTTGGCTCGTCTTGGGGCTCAAGTCGCGCGAGACGCCTCGGCAAGCAGGCGGGAAGCCGCGGCAAGCCCAAGAAGATTTGTGACTTTGGGGCCTGGGCCCACTGAAAACCCCCAGGGCCGAGGACTGAGGCTCAGGGGACTGGGCAAAGGACCCGAGGACACGCTCACTGCGTAGGTCATCCAGGAAGGCCCCAAGAGGTCCAATTCAAGTACATTCCCTTGGTCATTGGCGGATTTTTGGATTTGCTCCAGAGGCCCCAAGATCGCCCCAAGATCGTCCAAGAGGCCTCCAAGCTGGCCCCATGACGGCCCAAGAGGCCCCCAAGACGGCCCCAGGAAGGCTCCAAGACGGCTCAAGAGGCCTTCTCGACGCCCAAGATGGCTTCCAAGATGGCGCCGAAGCGCCCCAAGAGGGCCCTCTGTCGGTACAGAAGAAGGACCCCAGGACAGCTTCCGACGGCGTCAGACGGGCCAGGAACGCCCTAAGACTGCCAAAGAGGCTCCCCAAGAACCCCCCAAAGGCCCCCAAGACGCCTCCAAGAGGCCCCCAGCAAGCAGCTCCCAGTATGCCCCACGAGTCCCGCAAGAGTATCCCAAGAGGCCTCCTCGTCGTCGTCCTCCTCCTCCTTCTCCTCCTCCTCCTCCTCCCTCTCCTGATCCTCCCCCTCATCAATCCCCAAATGTTCCCCGAGGAGTTTCCAGAGCGGGTGGGGGAATCTGTAGTCCAGTACCTATCGCAGTGGTCGGAACACGCCAACACGTCCCTTCTTGGACGGTCCCGGAAGCTGCTGCAACGTCCAAGAGCCCCCCCTGCAAAGGCACCATGGAGGTCCCAGAACGTTCGGACAGCGCTGAAGAGCTCATTCCCCCCCAACACTCTGACAAGCCTCGTTCGCTCTGGGGTGGCCCAACGAGGCACCAATCCTCTCAGGATGGCTCCGTGCACAGCCCGCGAGAGAGCCGACTAGTTCTCAGTTCGCTTCGCGATGGCCTCACGAGGCCGCAAACGGCTTCAATATTGGATCCGCTCAGGGCCCCAAGAGGCACAAATCGTCAACGCCCGTACGAGTTTCGCATTTTCGCTCCGTCTGGCTGCTAGTTGTCCGTCAAACACCTGCGACACAGCTCAATACCCCCGGGACGCACCTTCACCTCGACGATAGCTCCAAGTCAGCATCAAAGGTACCTGCACCTCTCTCTAGACGAAGCGTGCTCCTTCGAACACGGCCCCAACCCACACCCCACAGAACGCCTGAATGACCCTTGCAGCTCTAGGCAGGCCCACAGGCAGCCCCAGGGAGTATTGAGAAGCCTTCTGGTGCGCCCAATACATGTCCGTAAGGAGGCTTCAATCTATTGCCCACGCCGCCCACAGCATTGCCCCAAGAGTGCCTCAAGAGTGCCCCAAGATCCCACGATCACCCCGACCAGACGAAGAGAGAGAGAGAGAGCTCACCTAGAGAGCCACAGAGCGGCCCCAGAACGAGCCCCCGACGCCCCCCGACCAGCAGAACGAATTGCAACACGCAGTCAAAACGCTTGCTGCTCGACCACAGGGGGAGGGCGTTGGCACGCCCCAGGCGTTCTCGGTATCGCCACCGCGCCTAAAAGCAGAGCTGTTATGGTGTCTCCTGCGCCTCCCCTCGGAGGCTACAGGCCCAGCGGGTACCGTTCAACCAGGCCCGCAGGGGTTCTCCTCCACCTCGTCCGTTTCTCCACCAAGTCTCCCCCTCCTTCCATATTGCGTCTCTCTCCCGTGTTCGCCCTCTTCGTGCTCGTTCTCCCCCTGAGCGTCCTCTCGAGCAGCGTGTGAGCCAACACTTAAGGCGAAGCGAAGCGCGCCTTCAACGTATTGAATCTATACAGGCGTACAGGTGTAAGCATGTATATCGCATCTACATACACAAACGCATACACTATATACACATAGGCACATGCATCTACATACACATCTCTCTATATATGTATGTGCCCACACATTGTTTATACAGTATATACACGCATACACCACACATATGCATCTGTGAGACGTGCAGTTTTTGCGAGCCATGTATTGGACGATTTGGAGATTTGTCTATCGCTATCCCTTTCTTTCGGTATCACTATGCAGCAACTGGGCCCCGCTATCAAAACATATCTCGGTCTGACTATCTATCGGTCCCGCTATGTTCCTACTTAGTGGCTTCCCCCATTAACGCATGAACACAGACACACTCGTATACGCATATGTTTCACCGATGCAGGTACAACTGCATACACATGTGCGCACGCATACATACATGTACGCGTATACGCTCACGAGCCCGATTGTGCGTATACAGACACGCGTATGTGCACATACACACAGAGGTATGTCGTATACGTGCCTGCACACCTCCACATGTGCAGACTCCCCGAACACTTTTTGCGCGTATGGGCTTCTTATCCGGTTTCTGTGGAACTGGGGCCCGTGTGCGGCCCCGGCGGCCCCGTTCCCTTCAAACGAGCCCGTGTGCGGCCCTCCTGGGGGCCTCCGAGGGCCATCCTGCTTCCAACCGCGGTTCGCCTGAAGGACAGGGTCATGATCTGGAATGCTTCGAGGGGCGTCTTGGCTGGGCCGCCATGGGGCTCCCTTCGGGCCATCCTGGAGCCCGGCTGTGCCGTCTTGGGGCCTCTCCGCCCAACGGGGCGTCGACGGCGGCCACACAGCCGCCAGGCCGAAGACACGGCCCAGTTCCGTATAACAGAAGTGGGAGCCCCAAAGTTCAAACACTGTTTCGGGAGCTATCCGTCTATCGGTATCACATCTACATTTTCCTATAGGTGGGACAACCACGGGACAAAGCCACGAGACAACCATGCCGGACAACCACGGGGCAACCTCGGGACAACCACGGAACGACCACGTGACAAGCACGGGACAACCAGGAGACAGTCACGGGACAACCACGGGACAACCACGGACAATCGAGGCACGCTACAGAACAACCCTGGAGCAACCACGAGTCAACCACGGGACAAACACATGAGAACCACGAGACAACCGCATGATAATCACGGGTCAACCACGGGACACACGCGGGACAACCATGGGACTACCAGGAAACAATCGTTTAACCATGGAACAACC